ACTCCCAGAATTCCCCAGCCAGCATTCGCTGGCTGGGGAATTCTAGGAGTTGAAGTCCAGACATCTTCAAGTGGCCAAGGTTGAGAAACACTGATCTAAAGCATCTAAAACGGCTATCATTTCTTTTCACCTTCAGAAACCAATGAAGTGCTTTCTTCTCATCTCAAAACAGCCCTTACAGACAAAAATGAGCACATGGAACTCTACCACAAGCCCATAAATCTTTTCCTTTTGTTACCCCTTAGGCCCAGCTATTACCACCGTTGCCGCCTAGGTTCCTTCCACAATATGCTTCTTAAATCACACTAGAGAATCCCAGGAAACGACATGCTTCTCTCCACCTTCAGCAGCGTTACCGTGTCACCAGCAATCCTTAAAAACACCAGCTTATCTTTGGATCCGTATGGTGGCAAGCAAGGGACGGAAAGGGAATCCCGGAGGTTCAGTGTTTTTCTAGAAAAGTACATGAAACGCTTGTCCGGGTTAAAAGCAATTTAAAAAGGCATAACTGAGGCTCAAACAAAGCTATAAACACTGTAAGCATCGTTAAGCTGAGAGGGGGGGGAAAAAATCAGCAATCTCTGAATTCTCTGACATTCCGTCTCCGCTACGACCTGCTGCCAAAAACGGTCTTCCAGCTGTTTCGTACCTGGCGCGATTTCTCTTCTCCACTGTAAAACACATCAGCAATTTCTCCGCAGGGAAGCAAAAAGCAGCTTTCTCGCTCTCTCTCCCGCGGCGATCTTAACTCCAGGAGCAATGAATGACTGCAGAGCAGGCTAGAGCAAAGGAGGGACAGCAGCTCAGGGCCGACGCGCTGCTGCGCTCGCTTCTGTGTCTACTGAGGCTACTGCAGGGATGTCAATTCATCTCCGCATCACCGCATGGGACCCGCCCCGGAGGAGGGAGCTAGCCAAAACAGACAGGAGGCCGAAGGGGGGAATTAAGGGGAATGACTCGAGCTGAGATTAGAAAAGGAGGTTGGGCCTCTCCTTTCCCTATGCCTGCCTCTTGGATTGCTCTCCTCTATGGATATAGGTCAGAGCCGCGTGAATCACTAACGATGGATCTAGGAAAGGTACAAACCTCATTGGCCGCTGAGACAGATGGATGCAAGGCGCATCATCGGAGTTCTGTAAAACCTGGAGAGTGGTCGCCTGGTTCAAAATGAAGAGGGGCCAAAATCACAGAGGTAACTTAATAAGATGGGGGTTCATTCATACGGTAACGCTTATTTCAAGCAAAGCACAATTCCAAGCAACTCAAGAATGAG